GTTTTGCTAATAAACATGCAGTTTACCGCATAATTCTATCGATCTTTGTTGTAGAGATATTTAATTTTGAAATCAGGGCTTATTCGCTGATCACCCTGTACATTCAAAGAAATGTTTAATAAAATAAACAAATAAATATTAAGCTTTTTTTTTTATAAATTTTAATACCCTTTAGATCATAAATGCTTCATTATTTCATAAATCACGATTTCATATTTTTGATTTTATAATTTCTACATGCCATCTTACTAAGTTTAAACTGATGATCTAATATCCGGAAAAATTCCAAATCCGGAATTCATCAAAGTCCCGACGATTCCGGATCTCGGACTTTGTACTGTAGTAGCTAGTTAATAAATTAAAACTACCCTTCATCATGCCTGATCATCAAAATTATTGTAATGGACACATCACTTGTTTTCTTTTGTATAAAAGATAAAAGTATGGATATTATTTGCATGGAATCTTGTTAGTAATTCGTGATTTTTATTTTAAAAATTAATCTTTGGTAAGTTAGTTGAATGTGGTTCTTGTATAAAAATGTATCATTTAAAGAGTAAATGAATACAGTTCTGTCTTATTCTGTGTGTACAAAGAATGGGTGTGTTAGACAAATGGATTGAAACAAACATATTTAATTGTGTACAGTACCCCACCAGTGTCTGTGTAATTAAGACCACTGATTAATAATAGCTGGATCTGGGTTTGAACACAAGCAAACAAGGTGACTGCATGATTATTTTCCATCACTTTCGCCATGTGTAACGTGAGTATCAGCCAGTTTCTCCTAGAAAGTTCTCCACAAAGGCATCCTTCCTCTAATGTAGATAGCCATTGCGTGATTTGTAATATGTTATGTGTGTGTTTAATGCCTTATTCAAAAAAGCTAGCCTAGCTGTAGTGTATAATACGTATGGTAGAATTTTAAATTAACATGTATTAAAAGTTGTAAATTGTTTTAAACTTCCGGCAGGTGAGCCATTTATATCAATATAAACAGTAACATGCATCATGCCATTTTCAAATAAGCTAATCTGACCATAATACAGAATACATATGGTAGAATTTTAAGTTAACATGTATTAATAGTTGTAAATTGTTTTAACCTTCCAGTAGGCATGTCCTTAATATCAACATAAACAGTAACATGCAACATAACAGAATTAAAAATTTTAAGAATGTAGTAATTGGTTAAGGATTAGATTAGTCCTTTTATTTGTATTAGATTAGTCCTTTATTTAAGGAAATAAAAGCATTGTAGATAGAAAAAATTGAAACAATGTAAAATGAGAGAAAAATAAAATAAATGAAATTGTTGCTTTCTGGACTGAACTATTGAAACATAAAAGTATAAAATAATTATATACATGAAATTAAAAAAAAGTTCAAATGAAAATCATTTTCGCAGTGATTGAACTGCAATATTGCAGCCTGAGCATCTCTTGAAGGAGAGTAATTAGGCATTGCAGAACAGTTGTACTTATAGGTCTCTTTAGCAATGCATGGCATATATAGCTATGGGTTCAATATTGAAGTATTTCCACTTATCCAACCTACCCCTTAGAATTTTAGCTGGCCCAGTGACTGCAGGAAGTTGAATATATATTGCAAGCTGCTTGTATGTTTTTGAATGGTTGTTTTTGGCATATTCATTAGTTGATGATTGTTTTTCATTTTTTAGGTTGGTAATGTAGGCTAGAGTGGAACTGTCATCATTATCTGCATCTTTTTCATCATTTGATGCATAGCCTTCTGTTTAAGAACGTATAATCTTTTATTGCATTAAATATTTCATATTTACCTTGTAAAGTCCAGTAGGTATACTTCCATGTAAAAACTAGAATAGTAGTAACTGCACAAGTGAAGGGTTAAAGTACCCTTTATTAACTCTTTAAAATTTACAGTGTGCCAACTTGATGCTATCAAATTTCGCCTCTGCTTGGACGGTAACTGAAAATCAGATAATGAAACTAAAATTTGAAGATATTAAGAAGTGATAGAACTAAACTACAGGGCTAAGCAAGATCCCATTACTAAACTCCCCTTTGGAACTAGTGGCAGCAAATGAATGCAATTAAGCCACATGAACTAGCAATAAGCAAACGTATCTACAGCAGAGGTGGTGACTGTAGCCTACTCTCTTCTCTTTCCAACTGAAACTCGGATTTTAAATACTTTCTTCAAAGTAGAAATTTGCATTCCTCCACGTACGCTACGAAATTTAAATATTCTGGCACTGACAATTAGGGAAATGAAGGCTTACAGGAAAGTATAAAATTAAACTCTAACTTGTTAGTTAAAATAAATATAAATCCCTACAATTTTCTATCGAATAAGCCACTATGAAACATGTATACTTTTCAAGAAAAGTGTTAAACTATCTGCTTGTGACGAAAGTTTTCTACCAAAGAATGTTCTTAATGAAGTTAGAAAAGCATGAAAGCAGTACCTTTAGTGTGGGTAGTAATCACCACCCAAATCTATGATTTTCTGCCAATGTTTTGGTAGTTTTTCAAAGTCTTTGGCCCAGACGCTTGGGGGCTATGAGTCTACAACAAAAGCAGATCAACCTCATTTTGGATGTCCTGTGCAGAATGGAAGATAGTACCAGCAAGATGTAGCTGCAGATGTGAAAAAAAGTAGAAGTCCGAAAGAGCGATGTTGAGGTTATATAATGGGTATGGCAAAAGATCCCATTTGAGTCCTTACAGAGTTCACCTGATGAATGCAGACATATGTGGTCTTGTATTATTTTTATGGAATATTACCTTTTTGTGCTAGAACTCAGATGGACATTTTTCCTTGATAGCAGTGTCAACGTGGACTAGTATCTCGCTGTTCATCTTACTATTGAGGGTCTTACCTTTTTACAAATACTCTTTGTGGATAATGCCACAGTAATCCCACAAGATATAAAGCATGATCTTTTTATTAGTCAAATTTCACTTTGCAACGCTGCCGACAGGCTCACCGGGTGCAGACCAACCCCGTTTTCGGCCTGTGCTGTTGAAGTAAATCCACTTTCACCACAAGTGACAATTTGGTCCAGAATTTTCTCCTTGCTTTGATAGTCAAGCAGATTTGTGCAGGTCCAAACATGTCTGTATTTATCTGATTGAGTCAGCTCATGCGATACCCAGCGATTGAACTTGTACGAAAGTTTATGCGGTGTATAGCAGGGCTAATGAACATGACACTAATGTCTAACTCCTTAGCAAGCCCTCAAGTAGTTGTGTACTGATCTTCTGCAAGTTCTCACTGGCAAATCAGTAGGCAGTTTACTTATCGTAGACTGAGATCTTTTAGCCCAAGAAACTTCTAATGCAGTATTTTTGGAATCTGTTTTTAATTGTTAGCCATGTCATGACGAACTTGGATCAATTATCCAACTAATTTATAACATTATTATTTCATCATTTATGCTTAAAATGGTACTTGTTAATTATTAGTTACTAACTTGATTTTTATATTTAAAGAAAAAAATAATCTCTTTTTTTTTTCATTATGATTATTTTTCATATATATTTTACAAACCTGTTTGTTTTGAGAAAATTCTTTTCTGCATGAATTAATTGTCAAGTTTTATTACATTTGAAGCACCTATTTTCAATTCATTTTGTTTTGTTGCAAAGATCAGCAATGTGGCCAATATTTTTGTATTTTAAAACAAGTTTTTACTACAGCATTAAATGTGAGTTTTTTTTTTTTTTTTTTTTTTTGGCGCTGCTTAAGTTAAATAGCTGTTAAGTTTTCTAATATTTTGTCAAAGTTGGCATTGATTCCAAAGTACTAATGAAATGCTTATATTTAATTGGCAAAGCTAGCAAAATTTTAGAAATTTTCATCTTTTCATCAATTTGTCTTTCATAGTTGCCATTTCTGTTTCACTAATACGGGAAGCTATGTCTGTTCCTTCTAATTATTTAATCTAAAAAGAATTTTGTAGCAAAATATATTTTTGTTGATATTAGAATCTCTTTCATATATGAAACACAGTTTTTCAAACATACCTTTTGAAATAATACTTTTTAATATATACATCATTGGACTTCTGTATCTATAGAGAGATTGATATATTTTTTAGTTGTAATATTTTTCCTTATCCACTTCATTTTTTTTAAGTCACTTAAATTTTCATTTCTTGTTGCTATGATATACATATCAGATGACTTAAAAATAATACTATTATTTTAAATTTCCATTCCTAGAATGAAGTAACATCTTCTAATTTCTTAATAAAACTCATTTTCATTTTGCAGCCATCTTTTTCTTTTTTTTTTTTCTTTAGAACAATTCATCTCGCAGGATTTTTTCACAGATAACTGTACTCATTATAGCCATCTTAACAATGAATTTGCTGCCATGATAAAAATTGTGTATAAATGAAAAACATATTTAATTTTCTATATTTCATTTTGCACACTAAATAGCATCACATTACATAGTACAATGACAAAATGCTTACATAACAGAAAAGTGCTAGAACTTTTGGTATTTTTACAACAGGCCACATCTTTACCTGTATCTCTCTACTGGGCCATATCTGTAACAAGGTGAGCTACCTTGTATATGTCTGTGGTTGTATGTGTGAATCCTGTGATACACCCATCTGTTGGTAACCATATTGTTGATCCTGCTGTGGTGCTAGTACTCAGATGATGAAATATCTGTATGGAGCTAAAAATATGTTACAAACCATTTTTTATTATGATTTTGAGGGAAAGGGCTCCAAATATTTGTGAGAATAAAATATTCTGTTGTTAAATATAATACATAATTTAGAACTATATTAATAAAATAAGGTAAAATAAGCAACATATTTCCCTTATTACCACATGTGAGTGAAATTAAAAGAAAAAAAAAATCTGATGTTTAGTTTTTCTAATCAAATTTTTTATAATGTTCCAAACGGCTTTTTTTCATAATTTTTTTTTGACATTTGTATTTTTAAATTAAATTTCTTGTGTTTATTTTATTTAATAATTTTTCCTTCTGCATAGTTATGTGGTTGATTCTGATGTTTGGAGCTGTGCTTGGGATGCTGATGATCCAGTATACTTTTTTGCTGGTCTAAAAAGTGGTGGAGTGTATCTTTTCGACATCCGTGTAACTAGTAGATATGTTCATGAATTGCCTAGGTGTGGTACTAGTACTCCAGTTGTGGCTTTGCAGTACCTTCGCAAAGCAACCTCAGCTACACACAAGTATGTAAAAAATATTATTTGTCACTATTTATAAATTATCATTTTATATGTGTGTATTATCCCAACATTTTAATATTATAGTTGAAATAGCTTTTATCAAGATAATTATATCTATTTTTTTGCTATCTGTACTTTTTAATATTACAACAAAATATATTGCACTACTCATCCAGTGAGAATATTCTTTGTAAGTTTCCAGTAAAATATTGAAAGCTTATTCTGATATTTCTTTTGACCTGTTTATATTTTTTAAATGACCAAACAACAACAAAAGTCTTTGCCAAAGTCTACAAAAGTGACTAAAAGTCTTTTCCATGTTTGTTACATATTGCAAATTATCTTTTTCTAAAAGCAGTATTATAGTAAATAAACAAATATATCGTTACATTATTTTCTTCCTTCACATTCGTACGGGGTCCATAGATTTGGAGTGAATAACGACGTCACTTGATGAAGTATCGAAACACTTTATTTACTTATATTCTCAGGACAGCTTCAAAATCACTTGTACAGTCGTCGAACTGTTATAAACACGCTGAAACGTTCAGCCACACAGCCTTCACACTGTCAGGCAATAACGGTGGAGACAGCTTTACTGCAAAGCACCAGAGTACAGCTGTTTGGTCATTCTCGGAACTCCATGTACTCTCGAGACTCTCCACACGATGCACTCGTCGATATATATAGTATAGCTCTCGACTGTAGCACAATCTAAGACAAAACTCGACGATGCACGAATTAGCGATGCACTAAAAGACTCTCTCGATGCACTCGACGACCAACTCGGTGCTAGACTTCGAGACACTCGCATAATAACTGACTATCAGCTCGCTAGACAAGGCACACACACTCGATGGGAGACGCACACTAACTAACTGCAGACCAGCAGGGTTTATATAGCTTTCGGCTTGTGTTCGGGAACATTCTGGGCTAAACCGGTAAGAATTCGTTCCAGAAGGTTCTCCAACCGTCCATGGTATATCGCCAATTTTGTCACCAAATAGGTGATTTCTCTCCAAATGTGGCAATCCTTCCCTCTTTTGCCATTTTATGGCAACCCTAAAACTGCTTTGCGGGGAAGCCATCTTACCACGATTGTACATTTCGTAACAATATTTTGGATTACCTTCGCTGATAATAAAAAGTACTCCTTAATTATGTGTAAAACTTTGGATGTTGTCACTTGGTTACGTTAGCACCAGTTGATGGTTTGACTTAAAATTTTGCACTAAGCAAAATATATATCTTTAAGCTTTCAAACATCTTGAATTTCATACCTGTTCCCAAGAGATGTGTGAAAATCTTTACATGCAGTGCTGAAAATACCCATAAATTTTAATAATGGCAACAAAATGCTGCACATAGTGCATTTTTATTTCTGGGCTAAGTTATGAAACATACTCAGTAAAAACAGTATTTAAGTAATAGCAATATTTAAGCAGTAAATAGTAAAATACGTATTTTAAATTATTCTGTTATTTAGGTGCTATAAGACTGATAGAAAGTTTTCGTACTTAGTGTGAATAATTGTGCATATGGAATCATAACTTTTATTTATGCATTTTATTTCATCCATAAATTTACACATAATGAAAAGCTGTCTTTAAAAAGCATTTTGTAATTATTCTGGAATGCAAACCATAAACTTCATAGTTGAAAAAGAACTAGTTGGTTTCTTCTTATTATACATTTGCTTAAAAATAATTATTTAATAAAAATTATCCCTTAATACAGTATCATATTTTTTATTAAATTCAAATTTATAAATCAACTTTTCATAGTAGTTCTTTATTTTAATGTTTTGCTTCGGAATCATTAAAAATATTTATTACGTAAAATATTTATACATATTATATCTAACAAAATTTAGCTTATCGGGCTTTCAGAACTAGTGCATTTGTATTTATACATCACTGGATCAATTTATCAAATGTATCTTAGAAATATATCCTTATCGTATCTTTAGTGCAATTTAATCTATGCATCATTGGATTTTTATATGTAAAAGGAATTATGGTTAATCTCCAGTTAGGGATACAAATTTGGTTTTAAGGATTATTCGCAATATTTAGACTTCACTGAAGATGAGTTTACTCTTTTAGTGTTGATGCAAGCTGCCATATTTGATTATTTTTGTAATTGTTGCTGAATTCATACCTTGCGAAGCGTTGCCAGCCTCATAGACCCAACTTAAGATTAACCAAAAAATTGCGCCATCTTTTTGCATCCATTTCGATTTTAAGATTCACCTTTCATATCACTTAAATTTTCATTTCCTGTTGCTATGCTATATAAATCAGATGACTTAAATAATAATATTTATCATTTTTGCACTTGAAATGAACATTTTTTAGTTTCCTAGTGTAATTACTATTGTTTTCATTTATCACGATTTTACTTCTTTACGTATTTTAGACCAATTGTATCTAGATAAACTCTTCACGGATAGTTTTCTTGTAAGTAACTTTTGTTTAACATTAAATTATCTGTGCCTTAACCTGTTAAGAATCTGAATGCCTGGAAGCATGTTTTATCTTTTCTGTGTATTTTCCCATATGTAATTTACCCCCACCTAAAAAATAATTTATTCATTAACTACTGATGTTATTCACTTATAAATAATGACATTAATAAAAATTATCAGCAGTTTAAAATCAGCAAGCATATGTGACTATTTTATGGTTTAAGTGGTTATTGTATGACAGTAATAAAAATTATAAATATTTCCAAGTGTGTGTGATTTTGTGTCTGTTGCTTAACCTTATCTGTCTGAACCATAATTATGTGACCAGGTAACACAACTAATAGATATTCACTAAGCATGTATATTAATTTAAATAAACAAATCATTCATTATCATTTATAATTGACATATGATAAATAAGATATACATTGGATAAGGAAAAGAAATAAATGGTCGGTTTATTTGATTATGACAAAGTACTTGAAGGCTATGTGCCTGAGGGGAGGAATATCTTTGTGGAGGATTTTTCTTAGGAAACTGGCTTATGTACACATTACACATGGGGAAAACCACAAAAATGACCATGCAGCCACCCTGTTCACAGGATTTGAACCTCTAAATAGTGATTAAATTAGTAAATGATTATGTACATGTACACTAAGGGGGTTGCACCAAAAAAAATTATCTGATTGTAAGCTAATTTCTAATGTGAATATGTTTCGATCTAACATGCAAATGATTAAATTTTGGCAATTAATGATTGAATAACTGGAGTAACCAATCATTGCAACTGAGCATCCAATTGGTTAAATATTTCTTAGTGTATTTAATTTTGTATCTGCCGCTTTACTTTTGCTGTCTGAATCATAACTATGTGGCCAGGTAACACAGGTAACAGATATTTATTATGTGTATGTGTCGAAATGATCAGAAGGTTGTTGATGCGTGTTCCTTGATCTATTACACCAAGATATTTTACTGTACATTTATTTACAAGCAGTATGCCACCTGGCATGCTTACAAGCGTTATGCCTCCTGGCATGTACACGATACACATATTCTGCCACCTGGCATGTAAATTGATACATCAGATACGATGCAATTATATCAATTAGCGCTAATACAGCCGACATTTTGGCGTGTCCACTCCCATGTTCTATAATGCAACTAACTCTGTGCGGTGCACCCTCTAGGTATAAATCACTGCAACCACCGAGGAGGCCAAAACATCCTCCCGCCTCCGATGAATTACATTCATGTTAATACAATCATCAGATACGCAAACAAGTAAATGAAAAATATAGAAACTGAAAACATACAAAAATCTTCAAAAAGTACAAAATTACATATTATATTTACCAATCTTCTACCTTATTGTATTGAAAAGTTAACTATAAGGGTTAAACTAAAACAAACAATTAAAATTATTAGTACAATAAGAAATATAAAAAAATAATAAAACATATTCAATATGAACCAAACACTTAAAAGTTAATGTTCTTCAACTGGTAAAAGACACAGTTTGGTAACAGGATGTTTAATGTCTCCGTGCACAGTTTTTAGTCTTACCACTCGGACATTATTGTCTCTTCCAGGAAACACTTCTATTACTTGCCCAAGTTTCCAACATAATGAAGGCATATTATCTTCTTTAATAAGAACTAAGTCATTTAGACGAATATTTCTGCTAGGCTGTCTCCATTTGCTGCACTACTGTAGTTGGCACAGGTACTCTTTAGACCACTGCTTCATAACTATGTGGCCAGGTAACACAGGTAATAGATATTTATTATGTGTACGTATCGAAATGATCAGAAGGTTGTTGATGCGTGTTCCTTGATCTATTACACCAAGATATTTTACTGTACATTTGATAGATACATTGTACATACAATTTAATCCTTGGAACATCTGCTGTGTTAGATGCCATCTCTGCAATGGAGACACTCATATTTCAGTTAAATCTTGTTCCGGAACAGCTGTTAAAGGAGTCTCTGTAATCAAGTGTCCAGGAGTCAGAGCTGTCAAATCATTGGAATGACTGGAGACCAGTGTTATTGGTCTCGAATTTAAACATGCTTCAATTTTTGCAATTAGAGTTAGAAACTCTTCATAAGTCAAAATTTGAGTTCCAACTTATTTCTTTAGATGTAGCTTCATAGATCTAACAGCTGCCTCCCATGTACCACCATGATGTGGAGCAGCTGGCAGGTTGAATATCCACCTTATGTTTTCATTTGATAACCACCTTTGAAATTCTGAGATTGACTGGACAGATGAAACTGCTTCCTTGAGGATTTTATTTGAACCTATAAAATTAGTTCCACAATCACTTCTTATTTCTTTAGGTTTTCCTCTCCTCGAAGCAAATTGTTTTAGAGCAGCTAGAAATGCTTCACTTGATAAATCGCTGACAATCTCTAAATGGATAGCCTTTGTAGCTAAATAAATGAAAATACAGACAGCATTTAATTGGTCTTATACCTCTTCCCCTTTTCATTTTCACAACAAATGGGCCGGCATAATCAGCGGCAAC